TGCATGTCATCTTCAATAACTTTTGAACCTTGATTTAGTTTTTTTGATGGGAAACTTGAACTGGTTGGTGGAACCCCGATATCTTGCATCATTGCATCCTACCACATTGCATAGTTTCAATATTAAAAAGGTGGAATATAATGATGCAATTCAACCATTAGAGAACCCAAGAGGTCTGACTTTGACGTAGTCAGAGGACTAAAAGTGGCAAAGAATAAAAGAACCAGATACAAGGTTAAGTAGAGGTCGGCATGCATAAAATTTCACTTTGTTCCTTGAAATCAGATCTCCCTCCTTTTTTTAAAAAAAACCCTCCACAAGTATATTTTGCTACTTAAACCTTCTCAACTTCGGTTTAAGCTGAAAAAATTAAAACATGTATAAAAAAAAGCATTTTCTTTACCACTTCAAGTTCAATGTCATCCAGCACACGGCTAAGATTCTTTAACTTTTTCTTCCTTCCATCCTTCAGAAATGGAGAGTTTCTGTATGGAATTCTGCAAACAACCAATTCCAAAACATGTTAAAAAAGATTTTGTTTATCTTGGCTAGCAGCCTGTGAATTTTACATCAATTTTACAAACCCACTTTTGTTGTGCTGTTTACTTTCGTTGTCAACATCATAGAATTTCAATTTTATATTCAAGACTAGCATCTTAAAAATGATTTTTGCATGAATTATTAAGGCTATTTCCATGAAACTAGAGAAATGATAGTCCAAGTTTCACAAGTAGTATATGACACTGTTTAAAGGTACACTAGCTTAATAATTTTATATTCAAGACCAACATCTTAAAAGTGGATTTTGCTTGAATGATTATGGCTACTCTCATGAAACTAGAAGAATGTTAGTCCAAGCCATTCACGAGTAGTATATAAAACTGTTTAAAGGAACACTAGCTAACTTACATATAACTTATCAGGTTGGTTTTATGGATTTTTAAACACAGAAAAGAAGGCTACAAATAAAACCAAGATGCCTAGAAGTAATCACTGACTTGAATGCAGCAAATAGTAACTGGCAAAAACAACTAGTTGAATGCGGGACAGCAAAGGTAAATAGAGAACTCAAACAAAATTGAAACTGGCTATTTAAGGTGGCATTGAGTAAATAGCTTAAAGCGGGACAAACCAGAAAAAAAATAAATTATGTTCTGTATGGAGGGAATTAAAATTTTAAAAGAACTGGAAAACAAGTGAGAAAATTGGCTTGCTTTAGTTCGGCTGAGATATTGTAGTTATAATTAATATCTGATAGGATATTATGTGATTATGTCTTCATTACATTGGATTTAATCTTTCCTTTCATAGTTAATCCTCTTGTAATGATTGGGATTGATTAGGAGGCTCATGTCTATATATATATGTACATTCTTCTTAAATTCAATCTCAAGTTGGAACCACTCGAGTAGACTAAGACAGGCTGTTTTCTTTCTACTGTTATATAGGACAAACATTACTTTTGGATTTTATTACAAACAAATGACTACAAGTAGAAGGGGTGTACTTTTCTAGCATTTTTTTAAAAAAACTTGCTAAACAGTTAAAATGAAAAATGCTTTAGGGATGCTTATTTATCCACCCAAATTTTCATCAGTGTGAATAGATACTTTGGTGATACTGATTTAAAGAAAATTTCTACATTTTGCATTAAAATTCATGTGATCAATAGTAATTTCCGTAATCACCCACGGGGAATGTTAAAGATATCTACTCTTTGCAGAATAATCTTACAGAAAGCAGGAATTAACAAGTGATCTATCTTTAAAATTATCAATTTAGTTACCTAGCCGTTTGTTGTGGCGAATGAACTGGTGTCTCTGTTCCAACTTTACCCAAACCTATAAGGATTTTGTTGATGTTATATGAAAAAAATGTCGGTAAGTGACAATTGGATAAACAGTGATATAAATGAAGTTCACTTTATCTTAATGTTAAAGCACACCATGCAATCATCTAAGAAATAATACATGTAAGAGAAGATATATTAAATTGTGAAACCCGTACATAAATTGAGTAACAAAGATCAAAATAGTCTGTTTTAAGATAATATGATATCCAGTTTCTAAATAAGAAACTGCTACAACTTCTGGTTTCGTAGCAAAATTTGAACATCACAATTTTATTCACCATCATCATCATCATCATCATCAAAACTTTACTGTAAGAGTCAAAACTCAGTTAGCAATTTAGCTTTCTGTCGAATTTAAAAGGGAACTATCCATACATTTCATACATGCTGTTGATGAGTATATAACAATAAGCTCAGTGACCCAATGAATAATGCAATATGAAACACGAGGGAATAAAATATGAGTAAAAAGCATGACTTACCTTGAAGTGAAAAAGAAACATGATCTTCACAGGTTGGAGACTTTTCCACAGTGGGATTAAGCTCATCATCACAAAGCAAATCAATGACAGATAATTCTGGGTCTATGAACAAAGAAAAATAATAGGTGAGAAGAAGAAGTTTGGAATACGAAAGATAGGGTGAGTAAAAATAAAAAAGAAAAGTTAGATGTTAAAGAATTTCCAGTATTATGGCCTCAAACAAAAAATCTGCGAGATGATCTAGACTTTACTGTGACAAGAAACTACATAGTACCGGTGGCATACACTTGTGGAATATTTGTAGTATGCTACTTACATGGATCGGATGCTGTCTTCCGATGGGTTGGTGGTCCATCAAAAGAAGTACTCTGGTGATCAGGAGCACTTGTTAAAACCCTGTCAAGTGATTAAAATATCAGTATGATGAATCGCAAGATCAAATCCATGGTGGTTGACGGTTAGCCAATAACAAAGCCAGTCCATTTTGACTGATCCCCTGATATTTCTGTCCCATTCTCCCAGCCCCAAAGAAAAGAAGAAAAGAAGAAAAGAAAAAGAGAGATCTGTAGAGGGAACAATGGGGGTAAGAACCAAAACAAACCAACTAAAAGTTTGGATCTGTTAGGAAAAATTCAATTCCCACATTGAATAGAGAAAAGGCCTAAGATGAGTTTATAAAGAGTAGCACTCCTCAAATTCTATCATTTGGTTTATATTTAAATTAATTTGATTAGTTTTGTAGTTCTAAAATTTCCCGATCCAAAGAAACCAAGGCAACTAATGAAGTCTTAAAATTTCCAACCTCAGTAATCCAAATACCACACACCCATATAAGGAAGGAAGAAGGCATAGTGCAGTCATCTAAAGCCATTCAAACAACCAGTGAATAAACGTATCTTTGACATATGCTTCTAGATTAATTGAGAAGTGAAAACACCTTTTATCTGTTTGTTTGCCACAGATGCCTAACTAAGTAGAGCAATAAGTTAGAAGAAACAAGTAAAACAATGGGTACAAGAAAACAATGCAATCATTCTCTTTGGTCATATACATTTTAAGGTTCAATAGCAATAACATATAAAATGTTCACTCACTTTTTTGGTGATGTTCTAATCTGGACGCATAAAGGTGCTTCTGCTTCTGTAATTAATTCACCATATGCTACATATCTCAGTTCCAAATTGCATTTAAATGGAACCATTAAAACTTGGCAGTTTACACAGCAGAATAAATGTACTATAGCTCATACTTTCTTCAAATCCACAAGCATTTGCAGTAGTCTCCTCTTTGGTGGATATTCTTGGCTGATTTCTTGAGACATGGCCTGGCATCGCAGAAAAGACGTCTCCGTCGTCTCTCCCTTTCACTAGTGTATAATTTTGTGGAAAGTGATAATTTTAGTAAACTGAACATAAACAAGAAAGAAGCACGAAGCCATCAAAACAAAAGTGAGTGAAATCATTCCCATTCTAGTTAGTTAGTTAGTAAAACATGAAAATCAGGAGAAAGAAAGTGAGTGGATAGTACAATGCAGGCGTGATATTTTTCGTGAAAATCTTATGATACAAAACCATCTCTCTTTTGTAAGCAAACAAAGCCAATCCTTAATTGGTTTGGGTGATATATAATGCGGCTGTCACCTGCAAATAACCCTCCACTAGCTAGTGCCAGTCCATGTTTCATGTATAGTCCAAACAAAAGAATCTTGGGATTTGGGATGCTTAACTGATCAATATATGTCACTTTGCAAAACTATAAAGAAGCAACACAACTGCTATGCAGAAAGAATATTAGACACTTACCTTTATGACCGACATAACTGCATTCCTGTGCATTTTTTGATAAGTTTAGCAAATTAAGAATGTCCAGTGACTGATGCTCTTTGTGGATTTGCATGTCTGAGTCTTCAGCATGGGTATCAAATCCCTTCGTCTGAACATTTTGTTGTTGACGCCTCCTTTGTTCAAAATATTGCTTCTGCCTAGTGGACATAAGGATTTGATTACAATGCATAAGAAAACAACTGACAAATCTCAAAAGGATAAGTCCTTCAACTCTCAACCAACAAAGCTCCACTAGTGTAAATATAATTAACATCTACGTATTTTACCTCTTCTGCGTAGACATCCTCGACTGAAATGTCCCATCTCATTTCAAATGACGACATGCACCAGATAGATAATATGATTGGATAGCAAAATAAAAACAAGCATCGTGTCAGGTCCTCGGTTACAACATCTTGCAATTCGGAAAGACATTACAAGCCAAATATCTCTTCTACTAATAGCAAACCATGAAAATCACGTTCAAATTTGTCCTAAAGGAAATAAAATTAGTTTTTTTCTCAGAAACTTCATCATTTTCACGGCGGTGTAATCAACAATCATTGTATATAATCTTCTGGATCGATCCAAAGTCTTACTTATCATCATTTCAATGCAAGAAAATCCACATGTACTATAAAACACTGTTAATCATTCAAATAATACTCAGCTTCTGGTTTTTCCTCTCTAATTTCGCAGTATATAACATTAGGATTGAAAGCATGTTAAAGTAAGCACCAAAGATAATTCAAATTCCTACAAAGAAGGAAGAAAAAAAAAACTCACAGCATTAACTTTCCGCCTTGATCCTCCCATCCATTGCAACATCGTGCGGAATGCGATCTAAAACCTAAACGCGGAACGAATAAAAAATTAAATCTCCAAACAAACACATTTCGAAATTCGATTGGAAAAAGTGTGGTTCGAGTAACCGGTGAAATAATCATCAAGCGAACGCAGGAGAGAAACCACAATCATGGACGAATGAAGAAAAGGATGAAGAAGATGAAACCTGAAATGACGAAGCCGTTGCTGAAGAAGTTGAAAGTTGAAATTGATATGCTGAAGAAGCCGTTGCTGTGGTGAAAAGCGAAAACCCATTAGCTAGTGGCACCGCGGGAAATGGCTCAACCTTCATGTATAATTAAACTAGTAGAATAACCGTGCAGAACTAAACTATAGAATAACCGTGCGCGGTACGGATAAAATTTACTTCGAATTGTATAGAGTATAGAATTGGATATATTTATTGAATGCAAAAATGAATCTATAAAGAATAAAGAATAAGTAAAACCAATGAAATAAAAATTGAAAGCATAATTATTTGTATTGCATTGTAAGAAGTGGTTATCAAAAGTATCCAACATATGAATAATATTAAAGTTATGATCAAAAAATAGTGCAACATCAACATATCTTGCACACCATAGAAAATGTTACAAAAGGAACAAGTCTTCAATTTGGTATCAATATTTCCACCTTAAAATAAAATAATTTAGGTTATATAACAAAACAATCATATATAAAATTTAAAACTTATATTATTGAATAAATTGTATACTATATCTTATATCTATTAAATGTTGTAAAAAATCTCCTCGAATACAATATTAGTGGTACTTGTTGTTGCAATATTGCCTTTGTCATTAATCAAAATTTTAAGACCTTCTTTAATCTTAACTCGAGATATTGCGACATACAATTGACTATGACTAAAAACATCATTTGGTAGATATAAATCCACATTATTTAAAGATTATCCTTAAGATTTATTAATTGTCATAGTAAAAGAAACAATAATGGAGATTTGTCTTCTTACCAACTTAAATGGCCATGGTAATTGCGACAGGGACAAAGATATTTTAGGAATATAAATGGGAAGAATTTAGCAAACAATGTTTGCTCTTGATAAGTCTTTGACAGATCGTTTATGGGAAGAATTTAGGTAACACCATTTATATTCCTAAAATATTTTTGTCCCTGTCGCAATTACCATGGCCATTTAAGTTGGTAAGAAGACAAATAATGGCACCATCCTTCTTTTTTGACATGATAAATGGACAAATAAATGGACAATGATAAGCTTTAATGACATGATTAGCAAACATTGTTACAATTAGTCTTGTTCCATTGCATAAGCATTTAGAATGATCCAAGTTCTGCATCAACATAATAATGGCACCATCCTTCAACTTGATCGAATGATTAGGCAAACCAGAAGTTTTTAAAGCATTTAGAAATTCAGGAGTCAAGTACTCAAAAGCATCAAAGTATGTAGCTGCAGATATATCAATAGAATCACTACTAAAGAATTATTTTTATTCTTCTATAAAATTAAAACAACGTAGCAATGACAAACAAAATTAAAGCAAAGTATATTGTATGGTATAATATTATCATTAAAATAATGAAACAACATCTTTAGTACCTCGAAGAAGATTTGTGAAGTATTGATTAATGACATCGACAATCTCAATTGTTGAAGTCAATATTGCACGACTTTGCAGATATTTGTTAGAAGTATTTGTACCACTTTGTAGGCACGTGTTTTTTGTAAGCCTGAGGACTTTGCACTCATCCCAAATGTATGAAGCATTGATTGTTGCGTGAGTAATATCAGATATACTACCTCTTGAGACAACAAGCAGAATTTGTCTAAAATCACCACCAAAAACTACTACTTTGCCTCCAAAAAGTTTCTCATTTGTTTGAGAAATTTTACTCATAATGTCTTTCAAAGACTTATCAAGAGCCTCAAAGCAAAACTTGTTTTTCATTGGAGCCTCGTCCCATATAATAAGATCTGTCAATTTTAAAAGCTCAGCAAGATCGCCTTTTTTGTCAATGTTGCAAACGGAAGATTCCAAAGTAGGGACAAGAATCTTAAACTTTGAATAAGTTGTTATACCACATGGTAACAACAAACTTGCAATCCCACTTGAGGAAACATGCAAGACAATTTTTCTTTTAGAACAAAGTGCAGCTGCCAAAGTGTTCCACATAAAAGTTTTACTTGTCCCGCCATAGCCATATAAAAAACACTCCACTATTTTGTCTTTCTACAACTTCTATGATTTCAACGTAAGTGTGTTTTTGTTCTCCTACAAATACCAATGTTATGACAAAATATTTAGTATGGCATCTAGAATAAAATTTGTATATAAGAATAAACGAAATAAGACATAGGGTAGTAAATGATAATGAAGCTTTCATTGATATTTAGGGCATTATAGCATAATGACATATAAAATGAGTAATATATGTAATAAATCACAAATGTTGACATGATATATATGTCTTTAAATTTGTATGCAGGATGGAAGATTTACCTGTAAGAGATGAGTACAGATCATTGAAAATTGTTTCTTGAGCAATTAGATCATAATGTCTCTCTTCATAAACCAGTTGATTTCCAACAGAAGAAAGTACAAAGTCATTTGGATGCAGCATTGGCTTGAAGTCTTTCAAACTTTTGTTATTCTTTTGTAACTGAGATTCTATTGTAATAAGGGTGAGTTGTTTTATTTCTTCATTTGTAAGTGTTAACCCTATGATAAAAAAAAAGGAAGAAACTTTAACTAAGAAATTGAAATTCATAATAGAATCATCCTTGTAAATAAGTTTTCATAAAAAGTGTACCTGGATTTCTGGTCAAAACACGTTTCTTGTAAAGAATACCATCAGATAAGAATTTCCATGTATTACTCCAAACATGCTCTGGTCTATTAATTGATGAAAATGACAACATAGTAGCAAATAACTTCCTTAAGAAAACACCAGACCCCCAAATATGTGCTTCTTTTATAGCCTTAATAAATTCTCTATCATCTTGTAGAAACTTCATAACAAAGCATGCTTCTCTGAAAGTTTTATGTTGAAAACCATCAATTTTCTTTATGTCTTCATAACTTATAGGTCCTTTCTTGATAGTCAACATCATTCTTAAATAGTATAGTTCACATGTACTTTGAGAAACCCAAATAAGATGTCCAATAGTATACCCTCTCTTCCTAGGCTTCCAAGTTCTGCTCTGTTTATGATAAACAAATTTAGTGACAAAGTCATTATATGTCAACAACATAGCTTCATCATAGACTTTATTTGCCTCAAACCATGTTGTAAACATAGATTCAGTCACACTTGGTTTGAGTAAAACATTTCCAATTTGCTCAAAGTCTTTGTAGAAAACATAATTCTCCCGTTCCATGTGAAAAAACAACCTCTCTACAGTTGGTTTCCTACTGTGTATGGAATATGAAAAAATCCTCCAACATGCCTCACTTGGGGAGTTGTAACGACAATCTAAATATTGCTTGATTTCATCAATGTTCTTCTTCTCATCAATTGCATTATCATTAGAAGAATGAATAACAACAAAAATTCTATCAGGACCTTTGTTGATATATTTCAATAAGAATTTGATAGAAGTACTATGATTGCACCATTATATTTTGATGTGTGCTTCATACTTCAACAATAAACTTGGGTTGTGGGGAACTACATGACCACTGTGAAGGATGATTTCGTTTTTTCAATTGTGTGTCAATTATCTCTTCTCCTATAAATCAGATAGCCATCTTGATCAACTAAACTTGTAGCTTGAAATTTCTTTGGGTAATACTTGGAGCATTTGCCACCTTTCATGCAAGGTGAACTTAGATTTTCCAAACCGCAAGGGCCGTGAACCATATGAGTTTTAACAAAGTTGTACAACTTTGGATCCTTCAAAGGATCAGGCACTTCAACACTAATTATCTTGTCAATATCTTCAGGTCCTGGATACTTAGTAGAAGGATGCAAAAATAGCAATATATGTGCATGTGGAAACCCTCTCTTTTGAAACTCAATGGTGTACATATCTACAAAACTGTAAGAAAATAATAAATTACTCTACGTAAAAGCAAAAATCTTGAATAGTAAGTTTGAGAAATAATAACTTACATGCAACCACTTTGCCGAAGACACCCTTCTTTGTCAAATCTATAGTAGCTGGTCAAACTTAATTTTAAATATCTTTTATATCACATCAGGACGATCTTGCGGTTTAAGATGAAGTGGTCTTAGTAATCTTTGGATTTCAGGCCAATTAGGATTGCAAGTGAAAGTTATAAACAAATCAGGGAACCCGACCTTGCTACAAATAGCCATACCATAATAGTACAACTGATCCATAAACCTGCTTCCACCTACAAAGGTAGAAGGCAAGACCACTCGTTTTCCTGTGGTTGATCTAGATGCATGACTTTAATCACCCTCTTCGTTTAGACTTTTGTACTTTGAAACCCTTTTGGTTGATTTTCGCGAATCCATTGTAATCTTTCAAACTCTAACATCGTGTACCCATCAACCAAATATTGTTGAAATGGTCTTCTTGATGTTAATAAAGTCTTTGCCTTGTTAGATCTGCTTTGAATGCAAAATGATAGCCACTCTCTTATTGTAAGTCTGTTTCTCTTATTGTCCTGGAAGATGTCTAAGTCTCTATGAGCAATGTTAGGCCTATAACCATCTTCTTCATATGGGAAAATCAAAGGATACTGATAAGTCAAATAGCTTGCATGAAGCTCATTTATTCTCTGCAGTTGTCCTTCTCTAGTTTGCATGATTATATCCCTCTGTTCTATAGTGTCAAGATCATCAACCACTAAAGCAGCTATTTCTGAAACAGCTGGTTGATTGTATATTCTACCATCAATTGTTCTATTAGAGATGAGTCTTAACTTCAAGTGTTTTGTATTAGAATTAAACAACCATTGTTTGGACGTTTGAAAACTTTTTGCATGAGGGTTATGTTCGTAGAGCATATCTGACAACTAATGTACAACGATTAGGTCGATGTGTTTCGTGTTCCTATAAATGTTAAAGAAAGTAAATATAAAGGAGTAGAGAAAAAGAGACATTAAATGTGAAATTTTGACAAAGCAGAGCATGTCAAAATAAAAATAAAAAATTAGTAATTGTAATTTTGGATACCTTAAATCTTGTATTCTGTTTCGGACTTCGTTTTCAGTGTCAAAAATATAAAGTTGTGCAAACTTTGGTGGTTGACCTTTTGGAGATAACAAACTTCCAATCCAATGACAAGATTGTCTTTAAATCCG